TTTCCTGCCTATGCAGGGGGTCGGACTCGATGATCTATTGAGGTCCCTTCCGACCCTAGCATCTATGAATCTATCTATGAATCTAGGTCCCGACATGGGGTGGGAAGCATTTCTCATGCTGGGGAAAGGATGTCACCACCCGCAGCCTGAACACCAGGGTCCCTCGGCCGTGCCGGGAGGGGAGCAGAGGGGTGGGGGGGGCCTCACCGCCTTTGGACTCGAAGTTGGGGATGCCGTGCATGATGACGTGGTGCAAGAAGAGAGGCTTGTTGTTCATCTTGATGGCGCCGGTCAGCAGCCCACTGAAGTAGTCGATGTACCTGGGGAGGGCACCAGGGGGGCATGAGCCACAGACACCCAGCCCAGACCCCACCACGGCCCCCAACCCCGATCCCCACAGGCACTGACCGCTTCTGGGAGGGCTGGGCTGCCGGCTCCACCTTGTCCTCGTAGAACCTCTTCATGGCAAACCTGTCCAGGGCCTGGTCCGCGCTGCAAGGCGGAGGCGGGGGGTGAGACTGAGTGGGGCCGCAGGGAGGGGCATGGGCAGGGCTGGTGGGCACCAGAGACCCCCCCCCCGCACCAAAGGGAATGATAACAAGTTCCCACGACCCTTCATCTCCAGCAGGGGGCACCACAGACCCTGGGAGACCTGCCCCCCCACCCCTGCACACGAACATGTACGCACACGTGCGTGCTCACCTGGCCGAGATGTTGCTGTAGTGCATGTAGGCGGCCACCACCACACCGAGCCGGCCCCGGTTGCCCTGCAAGGACCAGAGCAGAGGGTGAGGGTCACGGCGAGCTCAGCCTGGGGGACTGGGGGTCCGCACCCGGGCAGGTCCCATGCTCACCCGGTTGTGCAGCACGACGACGTGGCGCGGGTCGGCGCTCAGCCACGTGTCCATGGCCTTGCAGATGCTGCAGATCTTCTCCAGCGCCGGCGTGTGCAGGTCAGGCCAGCCAAAGTCCAACACCTTGGCGTGCAGCTGGCTGATGTCGTGGCGCCGCTCCGACAGGTTGAACAGCTGGGGGGCATGGCCGG